GGTAACTTGAATCTTTTGTTACGCACTCAAATAGATCTGTTATGCGGAGCCCTAAGAGGGGCGTCGTCCGCTAACGTTTGTGACATAACCGGAAGGGTCCGGTGTAGTGACTGAGACTGGCGACGATGAGTCGGCAGATATCAGAGACGCGCATGTCACGTGACTTCTAAGACGGATGTCTTCAAAGTCACTGACGTTCTCAAAGTAAGGACAGTCTTGTCCGAACGATGAGTAGTCGATCGAGGTAGACTTAGGCGCGATGAGCACCTAAGAAAAGATACTAGAGACTGAAGCTGAGGGGGCTTCAGAGGGAAGTATGTTCGAGGGAAGATTGAGTAGATTCAAGTTAGGGAATCTAGTACAGAGTGACCGACTACTTATACTAAGTGGAAAGGGTTAAGGGCAAGGCTACCGTACTGTAGGTAAGGGCAAAGGGGAAACGGAAAGGGTATAGGTACGCTGGTAGCAGAGCCTGATTAGTGATGTGAGGTCGAATGCGGAATGAGGCCGAGAAACGTTGGAACGAGCCAACGGTAAAAGATACAATGCGCAGCACGCATGAGTCAGAGGAGAGATAAGACAAGATAAGGAAAGCCACATTGGTGGCACAAGTCAGAACGAGTCATAGCCCGAAGGCACGTGCGCACGTCGGTGCGATAGGAGGGGGATGAGGGACGGGAACGGTCCCGAGGATCCGGTCAACGGATAGTCGGTAGAGAAGTACGAGCTGGAGGCATACGAGGGCGAGGACGAAGGGGAAAAATGATAGGGGGGCCATGTAGCCGATGTTACTTGTAACAGATTGAACACTACTGAACCAAAGTTCAAAGTTGTATTTCTATAGTCTACATGTAACATGATAGATGGAATCAACATAGATGACAAAGATAGTATTATTGAAAATGAAGTTGTTGGCTATTCAACCTAGGCATACCATTCACTGAGACCACTACTAGCATATTTGACAAAGTTGAATCACATATCACAGTGCAAAGATAATTTTTTTGCCTACATACCCACTGTGTGGGTGTGGGTAGGGGTGTGGGTATCCTAAGTGCCTACCCCCACCCATACCCCAGAGGTACCCACACCCATGACCCACGTGGGTTGAGGATACCCATGCTAATCCCTAAGATTCACACTGTAGATCTCCCCTTTGTCCTTGCCCGATGCATGGCCCAAGTCAGCATGATAGTTGCTGGACTTCTTACTCTCGGTCACAAATAATATGGCACAGTCTGGCGGATGCTCAACGAGGAAATCAACGAGCTTGTTGGTGCGCATAGGGACGTTATGCCACGAAATCGTGGCTGGTGACGAGTCTTGTATATTAGCCCCTCCCCTTCCCCGTCTCCCCCTTCCACGAGTTGGTGGGTCCATTTGTTTCCCAGTGTTGTCCTTGCGACACGGTACATTGATGTTTTGAGAGATGGTCTGCAGGCGTGCAGACCGACGAAGTCGTGGTCATAGGGCAGGCATTACATTTCACACTCCGACAACATGCCGATGTTCGCTGTACTTGACTAACCCTGAACTTCAGCGAAACTCAAGATACTTTAGCCGACGTTTCACAGAGCTTACCAAGCTTACCAAGTTTTCAGGAAATTACTTTGAATGCCACTATAATATGCGAAGGTTACGTCGAAGAGGAACACACCGGACACAGCACAAATAAGGTAATACAACACTTACAACTAGGGGTCGGCGTTGCCGACGTGGACCTTGCTCACATTCCGTCTTTTTCTAGCTCTATCGTGCTCGTTTAGTCTGGCTTCGTCCCAGGATTTCTTCTGACATCACTATATAGCTACTACTACATTGTTTCTTTCAGTGTACTGCACTATGGTACCTTGTTTTCTGTCAGACTGTCTGTCCTCGAGAAACGCTTTTTCGTTTCCTCCGCGAGTCGCTCAATCCTGTTATCTTCTATCTGAAGGTCTTCATTTGGATGTTGAAGGAATAGATCATTGTCGAAGTCTCTGAGAAGACGTATGCATTCTCGGCCGTGACTTCTGGATAGTGCGATGTATGCATTGAAGGGAGATAGGCGAAAACATGTCGTTCTTCCAATGTCCACTAAAACGTGATCAATCGTCTGTCCTTGTGCTTTAAAGTCGGTAAATGCGTAAGCTGGTGTTACAGGGAGTTGACGCCGCGTGATTCTTGTAGAAGGACCTGTGCCCATGGAAAATTTAATTTCGCAAGGTAACACTGGTATGTGCTGAGGCAGAAGTCTGTGCAATGGCGGTAAATCGCAGAAGTCGAGGTGAATGATAACAAATGCAGGGGGATAACGCAAGAATGCTCTCTTTGCTTCCACAGCGTTGCTCCCAATCTTTGGCTCTCTGGGATCCAGAACGATATCAGTAATTCTCAGTCTATACTCACTGAAAATGAAAGCACATTGATTGTCTGAGGTACTTAGCAGTTCAAATACGCTAGGTTGCATGGTGTTTCGATAGATAGATAGTAAATACGATGTTTAGGGGCGCGGCGTAAAATTATAGGATTAATTTTTATTTATTCATCACATTATTACCAACATATTAACAAAAAGGGGAGTTGTCCGAAAACGACGAATATTGGAAGGGAAGCGCGCTAGCTTCGCCCTGTGGGCGGAGCTCTGGGCGCGAGGGAGTTGCACGGTCTAAGCTATTACTTTGTTATTCAGAGAACGACAAGTATTGGAAGGGAAATCGGAGGTAGGTGATAAGTTCGCATCATCGTATCACGTTGTATGGCGTCACTGTATTTACTATTATTTGGAAATCACATAAAATGATCCATGTGAACCTGACCTTGCTTCGCAAGGTAACAATTGTGCAACAAATCGAGGAACTTGTTAGTTACCTGAGCGTAGATGGCCAAATATAAAATTCAAAATTCAAAGCGCTCAGTCGCCTCACGCTCCTAGCCAGCAGGCTCCAACTCGTCTGCTGCCTCTGCTTTTTGTTTTTCTCGCCGAGTGTTCTCTGTACCATGCCTTCGCTGTTCAGCTGGCTAGCAACGATTTATATCGAGCCGAAGTTTTTCGCGGCTCCTGGTGACTTCTCAGTTTTGATATTTCCATTTTCTAGACTGTCTTTGGCTACTTGGAAACTCGGTGGGTTCCGAGAATCTATCAATTGATGATCATAGGACTAGGTATGATTTCTATTCCATTTTTTTTACAGAGACTCGACGTTGATATTCAATCATCATGGTTATCTCAATTGAGGGCATGGGATCATAACGGACACGTACAGGCCTAGTCATCATAATTTCTTTGCAGGTCGGACCATCTGTCACTCGAATCTCGACCCCTCTGAACCATCACGGTGATCGTCGTATCGAAAAGTATGATAAACTACAGTGGAAGTATGGGGTATTTACTGAGGAACAGTCTATGTACGTGACAGTTAACTTGAAGCCGTATGATATACAAACTGAATCGTGAATGTCCAGACTACGAGACATCTACTTCCAACCAAACTACCGTGCGTTAAGAGATCGTTTCGTGTGGTGACCTGACGATCCAGCGTCAGGTATTATCGACAGCCCGCGTGCGGGAGTGGTCCTACGATAAGGATATCTTATAATGTTGCCTTGTTGGCCACTGCGCGAATGGGTCTCTTCGTCGAGGGCTGAAGCGCCCTGCACAGAGTCATCTCGCGCCAAGGGCACTGCAATTCGTACCTTCCTACGAGTCGTGTCCCTATCCTGAATACCCTCCAGTCCAGCGAGAGACTGATGGCGAGACCGCACACCAGTATTGTTCAAGGTGTCTTTGGACTTTGAAATCGTAATTTCCAGGGATGGGCGACCACCGTCCAGCTCGACAGCAGATATGGCTGCATCGTAAACCCATACACCCCCAGCAAGTGGCCCACTGATAGATTTGCGCCTCCCAACGCAGCGTTTCTTCAACACTCGGCTAAAGTCATTCGCAGGTACTGGCAATGCGGGAACTTGTTCTCGGGAAGGCGCTTTCCCCTTGGACTTCGGGTTTATGACGGACTGACTTCTAGACCGCACGATATTCCTCCCTACAACTTGTTCCTTCCCTGTACCCTCCCTCGTCATCTCTTGCTTCCTCTCCGCCAGTGGTTTGAACTGTTCCTTTGACACTTCTACAGCACTCTTCACCTTCTGGGCCCATTCGTCGACGTTGTATAAGTTGTGGAGCATAAGCTTGAATGTAAACGGGTGATGCTCTTCGAGGGGAAACGTAGGGCTCCCTACATCCTCCACATCGTCGATGGTATCCTGTGTCATAGGTGCAATACCGACAGTGTTGCGGCGGGGGCGCCCTATAGGCTTGGGGAGGCGCTTTTGGTCGCGTTGAGCGCGTAAAGAAAGAACAGTAGACAAATTCTTCAGGACTGGTGCGAATTCGGCAGGAACTGATTGGATGTCGTCCATCGAGATTGCTAGTTCCGTAGATCCCCTGGCGCGCCGTGTCGCAATGCGATCAAATAATTCGAAAAGCCGAGCAAATTCGGCTGTCTTAGGATTGCCTTTTGTAATGGCAATCGTCATACTGGAGTATAAGTAAACGAGGTTTGAGAGTTGATGAGTGATACTTTCAGAGCCACTTGGGAGTTGTTCGCGCAATGTAGTACGAGAGAGTAACGCGGACGTCAGGTAGTCCTTATAATTTTCTCGGCTACTGAATGGTCACAGTGGATGTATCCAATTCTGTGGACGTCCTTGTGTGATTTGACAATCAGTCTAAGCTGTGGACTTGACCACACTCCATGTGCTGAACTACTCCCGAGTGGCACAATCCATGAGCCCATTGTTCCGAGCCCCTCTGATTCCCTTCTTTCTATCCGATGATGCTATTCTCTTGTCGCTCAAGCCACACCTTGAATCTTTTGAATGATGAGATCGTAGACGGGGACATCGATTGTGTGCAATACATCGTAACAGAATACGGGGAACATTCCATAGACGAAAAGACGCTGCTTTGGGTATGAATGAAGAAGAAACGTTTGCTTATCTGAGTGCGAAATAATTCGTTACCAAGGTCTCCTACGCACTCGCACCCTCCCATTCGCGCGTAAAATGTAGGCTGTAGTCCTCCTAAGCCAATCGCCGGCCTTGTTGTCGTCTGGCTCGAAGACCTGAGATGTGAAGAACGAACTCCAGCTGATCGTGCGTAATGTTTTGATTTTCCCTGCGAGCGCGAGACTTGCCTCCAGCTCTCGTGTGCGTACTTTGGATGCGGATCCGAAAAGCTTGCATGTACGGCAGAGCTCTGGGCCATGAGGAAAGGGCAAATCTTCCGTACAGGTTCCGGAGTGAGACTCTTCTTTTTTGTCATCTTGGTCTACTGAATATGATATGTGTCCAGTGGTAGTCTCGGTTTCCAATTGACTGAGGATGTTTCCGGTGGGTGGAGATGCAGCTTTGGAACTGAACGCTATTCGGTGCGTATGGTCGAATTCCAATGGGGTGTCGTAGTGCTCGATATGCTTTTCCACCAGTTCCTCATCTGAAAGAAAAATGCCAAGGTGAAGATCAGTCAACTGGGTCAGTGGTTCCAGCGAATCCGCGAAGTTGTCCTGTCAAGCGTCGGATTTTGTTGAAAATAAGGTGACACAGCTCATCGTACCGTCAATTTCGTGATGTCACTGAAGTAATTCGGGATTGGCGAGTGCACGACTGCAGTTGAGCTTTCTTCAAAGCAAGTCCAGCAGCAGGAGACGTCTAGCTGTTCCGAGCAACTGAGGTGCAGAACCTTCACAGAAGGGAACGCAGATGCAACGGTTTTGAGCAAAGGTACGTCAATTCGCCAGAGCTTTGTCATTGTGAGAGACGTCAGTTGAGGAGGAAACCACGGGACCAGGGGGATTCCCGGTGGGGAGAAGATGCGCTTGAGTCGGGTTGTCTGAGATTGTCTTCCGTCCGATGAGAAAGAGATCATCAGGTGTTTCAGGTTCCTATAGAGAGATGGACTCCATGATGCTGCTTCAAGAGCATGCGATGGTGCTATAAGTGTTCTGTCAAGTTTATCGGTGAGTGTGTGAGCATATGTGTGAGAAAACGCACTTGACGTAGTTGAGCCCAACACTATCGCCCGGGGCATTACGGGAAACCAATGAGAAGTGAAAATTTGTATATGCAGCAAGTTGCTTTGCAGACGCAACGCGAATGGAAGAAAAATAATGACGCAGAGCGACATGTCTAAATTGAGAACAGACCAAAGAGAACGAGTGGACATGGAAGAAGCAGCCAGATGAGCAAGAGTCGAACAAGAAAGAAGCGATGTAATCGACGACCTCGATCGGAAGTTGAGATGTCTTTATGTGAGTGATTTGGTCTGCTGCAAGGACTCGGATGTCCTTGTGGTGGCTTTCGCGTTGTTCTGGAGCTGGCGAGGTGAAAGTATGGGTATATGCACTTGGAGAGCTATGAACCAGTGATTCAAGATCATCCTCGTCGAAATCGTCTTCAAAATCAGAGCTCTCCATGACGAGGTTGTGTCAAAACTTAGAGACATCCGAGTCGTTGAAGGACGCGTACGAACTCGGATAACCATAACCATACAATATCAGGGGTGTCACGTGTATACTAAATTAATAGTGATCACGTGAATGGGTGATGATGAATTGCAGTTTCGACTTGGACAAACGCTTGGCGAGTGCTTGCGCTTGAGCCTTGCAAGTTGCAACCGGCTCGAGAGGCGTTGTAATTTGTGGAAGACCAGATAAGTACACCTCAAAGTATACTTGTTAGCTGAGCTACACCGAATGGAGAGTAAGACTATTACTTAACGGGTTTACTTTTACAGGTGCACCTCCTTCCTCTTTCACAAATGTGCACATTGAATGGGCAACATAATGTCCCCAACGATCATGAAACTGCCGCAAGAGACAATGGCAAACCAAAGACATATAGCGCATTGTATGCTCTTCAGTTGAGAGCCTTCATAGATGCTGCAGAGGATGTGGACGTGGACCCAGATACAATCGAGGACTTGCTCGAAGGTTTGGAAGATAGAGATGAAGAAGAGGAAGTCCAAGAGAGCGACCTAGATGATGACTTGGACTCAGGAAATCTGGCTCTCCCTGCGCATGAGTGGCACAGTGCTATAGAGGAGAGTGGCGACCTGGACGATCTCGAAGTGGAAACCGAGGTCATAGAACAATTGAAACGGGAAGGTAGGTATATTCATTTAATGTCGAAGTATGAGAGCGCAGTCCATGGAACTTCTTATCGATGAAGCGTATCATTGAGCTGATGTCACCTTAGCAGATGGAGCATGGTCGAAGGAAGAAATTCGAAAGATGATGCATCACTTGAAAGAACGCGGTAAGCCCACGTTCTCACAAACAAAAAAGGTGTGGGCTCAAATCTCATGCGCTACATCACATTCCTATAGGAATGAGTTCCTTCGTCAGAGAATATGTTATCACTCAAAATATTCCGATAGTGAAACTTCTGTTTGCTTTCGGGATTTCCTTGGTAACTCCGTCGTTTGATCTGCATACATACAATAGAACTCGTTAACTTGGACCATAGTGCCCCGAATTGCGGAATAAGCAACCTCAAACAATGCTATATTTTCTGCGGGTCGCGATGTCTAAAGAGTGGGTAAAATTCCATAGGTCCTCTTGAGCATCGCTCACGATGATTCCAATGTTCCACACACAAGGCTTCATCTCAGGGAAAAACTGTCTCAATATAACACCATTGCCGACGCGGTTTCCCTAATCCAAGCCTCAAAGCGTATGGTTGTGCTTACTGGCGCTGGCATTAGTCTGTCTATTCCCCTTTTCGATCAAGACTGCATCACTGAATCTGTGCACAGGCGTCTCATGCGGTATTCCAGACTTCAGTGCGTGACTTTCCTTTTTTGCACTTCGAACGCGGTATCTTCAAGGGTTGTTTAGGGTCGCATAATGGCTTGTACGCGATGCTGAAAGAACGGGGGACTTATGAGCTCGATGACCCTCAACAGATGTGAGATGATCAGCTATTCTATATGCTCCTAACCTGACACTTGTCAGGTTCGATATACACTATTTTAGAGAAAATCCTGCAGGTGAGAGATCTCATCTTCTGTGAGACGTCGTTAACCTAGATTCGCTTTACACAGTATTCTAGTAAGTATCGATGTTCCATAATATCTGACCACAGGCTGAAATTGTAGCCATCAAGCTCATTTGCGAGGTTGTTGCTCCGAACCCGAGAGACAATACTTCGACTGATGCAACAATTACAGCCAGATATATCCGTCTAACTTTATACCTTCTCCTTGTCATCGATTCATCAAAGCTATAGAAGATAGGGGCAAGGTACGTGGCATGTTTTTCATAGGGTTAATGAACCTTACGAAGGTTATCAACAGCTTCTCCGGGTAAGTCCTGTCATTCCCTCTCCTTGCTTGAAGTTGACGGAAGTCATCACCAGAACTACACCCAGAACATTGACACACTAGAAACACTCACCGGAATTACTCGTGTATTGCAGTGTCATGGATCATTTGCGACTGCGACGTGCATTCAATGCAAACGACGTATACCAGGGAACGAAATTGAAAAGGATATCATGGAACATCGTGTTCCGTTCTGCACTGTGTGCGTGGAGGCCAAGAGAGCAGCCGAGGAAATCCGCCAGGTTGCTTTCAGGAAAAAGGCCAAAAAGCGAGGTAGGAAGGAATGGGAGGAGGGGAGTGATGAAGAGGATGAGGCAATACCAGTTGGCGTGATGAAGGTTGGTTTCCTCCTGTTGTTCTGTTTATGCGAGTTCTTGATGACATGAGTGCACAGCCGGACATCACTTTCTTTGGAGAGAAGCTCGCGGATGACTTTGATCACGCCCTCGAGGACGATCGAGATAAAGTCGACTTGTTGATCGTCATCGGAACCTCACTGAAAGTCTCACCTGTATCCGAGATTCTCTGTAAGTTGAAAATGTATACGATTCTGAGATGAGCACCTGACCTTCGGCAGCGCATCTCCCGCACTCGGTTCCCCAGGTTGGTATTTCATCTTATCAGCGTGCTGTTTGTTCTCTGAGCTAAGAGTTGTTATAGATTCTGATCAATAAAACTCCTGTCCGACATATTAACCCTGATGTTCGTACACAGACCTCCTTTTCGGATATCGATGACACTAACCACTTGTTCGTGACGATTAGATCGTCCTTCTTGGAAATGCAGATGACATTGTTCAACACCTCTGTGAACAGCTTGCGTGGGAGTTGCCACCTCCAGTGGGGAAGCGCCTCGAGGTTCCGTCACTAGCGAGATCAGCAAAGCGCACCTCAGGTGAAATGATGGGCAAACCCGAGCCCACTCGTGTTGCCAAGAGGTATGTCGTCAAACTATATAACGATCCCTGTACATTGCTTGATCGAATCTTGATTTAGCCACGTATGGCTGTTTGAAGGAGCCGAGGGGGGTAAATGGGTGCGGGATATTGAGAAAAGGTTCTTGGAAGAAAATGTGGAATCTGAATCGCGTGCCATGCAAGGTCGAGTCCCGAACGAGGGTCCCGAGGTAAAGAAGTCGCGAACAGGCTGACATTGTAACACGGTGTCCTTCGACGTGCTTTGCTTCTGGTGAACAGAGATATGGATGTTGTGGAGCTCACGAACTTTGATATAGTTAAATTATATCACAGTCCAGGTTTTGGATACTCAGATGTGTACTAGACCATGTTATTCACGATGCGGGAAACATTAAACCACCAAAGATTCCAGCGCTCAACACGAAGGCTTGCCAACAAAAAAATAAATTCCTTCAAAGATAGTGTCAATACGTGACTGACACCCTTGTCACTTTGCTCATGGAGAATCAACGTCGAGGACTGCCCAGCCATCTTATGGTAAATATTATGCTCGCTGATAGATTGCCACACAACACAAAAAATGGTATATTACCCGAGTCTACGACCCATCGTCTTCAAAGATAACCTCTCTGCTCCCCTCACTTTTCCTTCCGGGTATATTGGTCTTGCCTGACGAGCCCCTGCTCGCCTTCCTCCCGTGTCTTCCTGGGGCGCTCACAAAATCGGGCAGATGCGATATCGAGCCATTGGAAATATGGGAAGATGAGCCATTCGGGGTGTATGAAGCAGAGCCGTTGGGGAAATACGGTGTAGAGCCGTTTGGAAGGTGTGATGTAGAGTCATTTGAAGGGTGTGAAGGCTGGTTCTTTCGTATTGAGGGTAGGTAAAAATCGTCAACTTCATCCTCCTCTTCGGTCAGTGCTGCGGCGTACCCGGCGGGGGTGCTTGAATGCGAACGCAAGTGTCGGATGGAGTTGTACGAGCCCTTGCGGAGATGTGTGGCATATGAGTAGAGTAATAGTGCGAAATATATCTGCATAGTTTGGGAATTGAGGAAGTGATGTGAATAAATTGGTATTCATGTACCTTTGCAAGCCAGCTAATAATGATGACGCCCATGGCAGTGCCCTTCTCTTCGTGCCACAAAATATTCGCTTCCAGAGCCCGCTGCTCATCTGACATAGTGTGGTTTACAACTGGTGCATCATGTCGTATGGCCTCCTGTGCATGTGAATTGGAGATTTGCTGCCCATCATGCGAGGTATAAGTCCACCAGATAATGGAAAAGAATACCGTCCAAATTGTTGAGAAGATGTGGTCGAGGAAGAAGAAGTACGCAAAATAGAGTGTGTGCTGAGGGTTCTCCTGTCAAACAAAGCCGATGTCAGTTGCTGATTGAGTATTGTGCTAGAGCAACGAACATCTTTGACGGATTTCAGTCCCCAGCTTAGGGCGACGAGACCGAGAACTGAATATATACAAACTGAGCTGTGCAAAGTTACTATTTGCACCGGTCATGACAGCAATCAAGCCGTAAACGCCTGCTACTTTGTTGAGGAGCTGCGAGGTAAGTTATATTCGCGACATTGGTCGAAGGAAAAGACCACGATGCTTACTGCAAACAATAGGACAACAGTGACGCCAGTTTTGAGGTCAGTAACACCAAGAAAAGTGGAGATCGGCCAAAGCCTCCATTCAGGGCGAAGCATGAGTTTCATATGCAAGTCATGTACCACACACGAGTTACAACAAAGGTAGGGAAGAGGTCAGTGTGCTCGTATCGGAATTCGGAAGAGAAGAATAGCTTTGTGACTTAGTCAGCAAGTGCATTCTCTGAGATGAGTCATCATGGTCTCAAAATATTATACTTCAGATTAACGAATATGAGTGAGATTCCTCCGTTCGCCACACAGTCGCCGCGCAAGTTGAATATTCAGTCACATGCTTAGCATGGATCACGGTCAGAATGGAACCCAGAGAACCATCTGCAACAGAAACTTGTCAGGCGAATTCAGTAGGGCCCGATTTAACATGCCTTGACCTCGAAGCTTGAAGCCCTGACGAACGTGACATTGGAAGGGGAAGGGAAGTTTATTGGCCGACGTTTGGCATGGACGAATTGGACAAAGTGGACAACACTGCATGTGTGCTGGCTGGTAACGAGCTTGATTGCACTGATCAAAGAGTTTGCTCCAGTGCCTGAAGCTGCTCATCGCCGGTACTCGCGCGCAATTTGTTTCGCAGGAGCTCTTGATTAATGATTGCCTACCTGCTATCCAGTGGTGCGTGATGGTCACAACTTTAGATGGAGTCAGAACTGCTACTTTGTAGATGAAATGATATGTTGCCTGAAAGGCTGGCAACTGCACGGCTGGAAAACATACACAATCCAAGTCGGGTCACACAAGAGCAAGAAGATAAATCTAATTTCTGCTACTCATTATACAAACTTTAAGCCAAACTCTCAAATGCGAGATCAAGAACAAACAGATATAGCAAGCCATTTCGCAGGAAAGAGGATTGATGGGTGTTTAATAAAACTTCTACGAACGTTCGCCGCGCAGCCGCCTAGCAAGAGCAAGGTCCTTCGGTTGAATAGTCACACGTTTGGCATGAATAGCAGCCAAGTTGGTGTCCTCAAACAGCGATACAAGGTACGCCTCAGCCGCTTCTTGCAAGGCCATTACGGCTGATGATTGGAACCGGAGGTCGGTCTGCGACATAAATGTCAAATGAATTCAATGTGATTCCATTGACGTAAATCCTGACCTTAAAGTCTTGTGCAATTTCGCGGACAAGGCGTTGGAAGGGAAGCTTGCGGATGAGCAACTCCGTCGACTTCTGGTAGCGGCGAATTTCGCGAAGGGCTACCGTGCCTGGACGGAAACGATGTGGCTTCTTGACACCTCCGGTTGCCTGAGGGAAGGAGGTTAAATGGGTTTGGAAAGAAAGGTACAACATACCGCATGTGCATGTATGGTAGCCTTTTTTCCCGCTGATTTCACTGCGAGCTGCTTTCGAGGAGCCTTACCTGGTTGTGAATGAGCATAGGTGGCAGTGAACCGGAGAGGTTACGGCGACTTACCGCCTGTGCTTTTGCGGGCAGTTTGCTTGGTGCGGGCCATTGATGGAAAGAGTACAGTATTGATCAAGAGTTTAGATCCCACTTGGTTGGGGTATGGTCCTGAGCACAATGTCTTTGAAGTGAGACTGCTTTATAGGATCGCGTCGCGTGGTCACGTGTGGAGTCTTGTTCAAGGGTCCACAGAGTCTCATTGTCTCGTGTGGATGTCTTTTATATTCATGACCGTATCTTCCATTGTCCGAAAAATGTGGATTTCTCCACCAATCCCTTTCAGATGAATGTACTTCGGTGCATAGTATAAGCATCCAAGTTGATATACTTGTTCAGGTTCAACACACCGTGACCTTGTGGAACTCCATCTTCAGATGAGACGCATCAAATATCATATATCATATCTTCGAAGGCCAACGTTGCCAGTCACGCTGCGAATAAGCACACATGGGGATGCCAAAGGTAAAATATATAGAAATACAATAAGGTACACCACAAATACGAATAACAAGATGTCAGGTCTATGAGCGCTCCCCACGTAACCGCCGTGCAAGAGCCAGATCTTTGGGTTGAATAGTAACACGCTTGGCGTGGATAGCAGCCAAGTTGGTGTCCTCGAACAATGAGACAAGGTATGCTTCAGCAGCTTCTTGAAGAGCCATCACAGCCGATGATTGGAAGCGTAGGTCAGTCTGGCCAAAGTGATCAGATACGAATGCAGTTAGAATACGACATAACTAACCTTGAAATCCTGTGCGATTTCACGAACAAGTCGTTGGAAGGGGAGCTTGCGGATGAGCAGCTCTGTTGATTTCTGGTACCGACGGATCTCACGAAGAGCGACGGTACCGGGACGGAAACGATGGGGCTTCTTGACACCACCAGTGCTCTGAACAACTATTGTGAGAAGCACTCAAAATGGTTAAAAAATCGTACACACTGCTTGTGCAGTCTTGCGGGCAGCAGACTTGGCGGCCAATTGCTTACGAGGGGCTTTGCCTAGTAGCTAATGAGCTCTCGTCCAATGCTGTAAAGCCAAAGTGTGACTTACCACCAGTAGACTTGCGAGCGGTTTGCTTAGTGCGAGCCATTGTTTAATGAGAAAGGACAATTGCACAAAGAATTGATATGTGGATGTTGGTGTGGGAAAGGGATATGCCTCTGCCGTGTCCTATATACAGACGCGTCGCGTCACATCACGTGTTCCAATCAACATTCCAGATGTAGTAATTCAACACAGCCACGCGCCTCGGTATATAACAGTTCGCAGTTGATGATTGTGGTACTCCTGTATCTTCCGCCTCACAGCACCAGTAAACTCACACACTCCACAACACTTTACTTTCAACTCAATACAATGTCTGGCCGTGGAAAGGGTGGCAAGGTGAGCCCCAGAGTCGGTCTTTTTGTTGGTTCCAGTCTGACATACCTTGAAGGGTCTCGGAAAGGGCGGTGCCAAGCGTCATCGCAAGATTCTTCGTGACAACATTCAGGGTGAGTCATTTGGCAATTATTGCTCGTCTTTTTGTTTAATCCTGCGTGCCTAGGTATAACAAAGCCTGCTATCCGTCGTCTTGCCCGTCGTGGTGGTGTCAAGCGTATCTCTGGTCTTATCTACGAGGAGACCCGTGGTGTCCTTAAGATCTTCCTTGAAAACGTGCGTGCACGTACTCGTTGAACTCAAGTATTCATACTGATGGTTTGTTGTATATAGGTCATCCGTGACTCGGTAACATACACTGAGCATGCAAAGCGGAAAACTGTCACTGCCCTTGATGTTGTTTACGCTCTGAAGCGCTCAGGGCGGACTCTGTACGGTTTCGGGGCATAGAGGCTTGAGGACTTCATCGCAGCTTGTTGTATTGTATATGTATCATTATAATCATTTCCTTATCTTATGGATCCGAGATGGAAGACGTTTGAAACTTAGTGGAATGCAGCGCACTTCAAATATCGTTTCCAAACACGCAAGCCTTTTGATATAATACTTGCAAAACACGGAGCTGCCATAAGGATTGCCTATCCTCTATGCACGGATTAGCGCTCAAAGCTGTCCACGTGACTCGCCGCATCACTCTTCGTATCCGAGCCATGCCGCTTTCCATTTTCTTTCATTTTAAAACCTACTTGTGCTCAACGCCACTCCCTTCAGCATCCGTTTTTCACCTAATCTTTGGCCGATTCGCACCCGAGGACCCTTACGGTTCGCGACTATATCTACTCATGTACATTTTGATATCTACAGCGAAATATACCCTAACGATCACCGCTCCAAGAACTTTAGACAGTCTCCTAGAACTTGTCCGTCTCAAACGTCTCGCTTCTCGTCTCTCGTTTCGTATCTAACCCAACTTTGCTCACATTCCCCTTCGAACTCGTATAGCCGCCTTACAAAGCTATGCCACTTCGGTTTTTGACGCAACGCGTCCATGAAATACCAAGTCACTCCACAAATTGGTAAACTGGGCGTACGGTGGAGTTTGAACTCCACCTTTCATGCATGCCCACACATCTCCGAGGGTTACCGGGCAAAGGCGGTATGGAACAGTGGATTGGAATGAAGGTGAGGCGAGTGATGTCTCCTGTCTATCCAACCCGGCGCATCGCTGATGTTTGTTAATTCTAACAAGCATCAACTCCCGCGCTCGCTAGTACCCTTCTCCTTAGAGCATCCCTCAATCTCATTCTCCATCGATGCATCAACCACTGACACGGAGCACAATGTGAAGTCAAGATCAAGCAGTGACTCACCATATTGATACGTTCGACGCATGTACCCACTTTGGGGCCTCAAGCTCAAGCTTCACCTCCCATCTTTGCGACCCCGTTGATCCTCGCCATCTCCCAACCCAAAGTGATACACAACACAAACTACCCCGTGTTCACATCAACTGTGTAGTAGCGCCCACAGCTGTGTAGGGCTCATCAGAGCTGGAAGAGCCGTCAGTCGTCCCCACTATCAGTGCTCTCCATGACTCGGCTGATGTGTAGACCCGTACGGCTGTGGTGGATGCTGACATACGCCTTGTGATCTCTGTGACCTCCATCCTTAGTTAGATCATCTAGATGCCACCGTTGTGGAGGCACTCCTCCATTTCAGGAGGTGTGATTGGGGGTAAGAGGACAAGAGAGACGTGATGTTGTTCCTAGTGGTTGGATACGCGTGGTAATGACGAGAACCCATTGTCTCCATTATTTTGGTATCTTTGGGAAGACACCCTTCAAATGTTTGAGCTATGCAGAAGTTGACTCAAAGAGACTACTAGCAATGCGCTTATTTCTTCGTCAAAACCTAACACGACCACGACCATACAAGTGAGCTTGAAGTATATCTTCAGCATCCTCATAATTGGTTCATGCCCACGTCGACATTTAGCACGGAAAATGAAAATTCTCACCTCAATAATCAATTCTCGTGCAGACATCGAGCTATTCGAGTCCCAGAGAATTTGTATTGGCGCTGCTAAACGGGGATGTTAGCTTATTCCAGGTGGTGCCCTCGCTGCCAGCTCGGGATCTGAGAATGTATTCCTGATGAAGGTATGGGGAATAAGGCCTTAAGGAATTAAATCTTGACCATGCACTCATAACAATGTCCGCTAGGAAGCTATGAGCCACCATCTTGGTTCACGCGTCTACCCTACAATAATGAATTGGTCTCTTTGCTAGATTTTGCTTGCGCTATCGATCCATGTCCAAAAATAATGTCTTTCAGAGAGCGCATCAAGTGAAGAAAATCGGATTCAGATCAGAAACTGCAAATTACCGATATCTATGTAATACTCGTCATCGTACACATGCGAACATATAGAAATCTTATTAACAGATAAATCGTAGATGGAAAAATGATACCGTACTGTAAAAAGAAACAAGGCATATCGTGCCTACAAGTCACAAAAGAAGTGAGCAGTTCAAGTAGTCCTCATTTGCCGACACAGAAGAGCGAGAGCAGGTGGTATAAGAAGCAGTCATTTTGATAGCGAGTGCATTGGAATCGGACGGTCCATAGCTTTGTGGTGACCGAGAAAGCTCATCGAGAAGGACCATCTTGACAGACAGGACATACCTTTCTATGGAGCTTGAAGAACATTTGCTGAGTACATATCGATAAAACGACGACGTGTCCATAAGTCACAGGCAGTCCATGATCTGCGAAGTAGATACCGGTAAGAGAAATACAGAGACAAAGAAACAAATCGAGGGCCATTTACATGATGGCGAAGACAAGAGAAGACACTTGAGATAGATGTAAGTGCGAGCCGCGGGCGGTGGCCTTCAACTCCAAGTGCTCTGAGACAAGATGGAGGCGGTTACGCTGTTGCGGTTGCGGTTGTGTCGGGATTGGTCGTAGGGGACATCCGACGTCAAAGACTGCAGGTATAACCGGGCGGCGCGAAGACATAGTTTGTGCGCGGCCAGCGGTGGCCTTCAACCCCACAGGCATGAAGCTCCAGGTCGTAGGGGACATCGAGGGAGGCCGTTGTAAATTTTCGTGATTTGGTCGTAGGGGACCTCGGGAGTAGCATTGTGTGTGAAGGTGTCGGTCTTGAATGATTTCGATTAAATTTCCGGGGTCGGGCGTCTTCTGATCCAGAAGCAGTGGTGAAGGCGACAGCATAGAGGGAGTCCGACCTGGGCCATGGCAACTGTCCAGCCGTCGACAAGAGCGGTTTGGTCGGCGAGGAGATCGTCATGTAGTTGTTCAAGGTCATCTATTTTAAGTCAGCAGACGAAGCGAATGTCACCGGAAATCACCCACCGACCGCAGTAGCGTGTTCTTGTTGCTTGTAGTGAGTGCGTTCGATGCTGCCACGGACAGCGGCCAAGCGAGCGGATCTAGATTCGCGCTAACGAACGACGGTGAGTGCAGCACTGGGCTTCGCAACGAACATGTCCATACCTTGTGTCTACCCGGGCGCAAATTCTGATGCCGCTGAGGCGAGACAATCTGAGGCAGGATGCTGCCAAGAGAGGGCGTAGTTGTTCAAGGTCGTATATTTTAAATCAACACACGAAGCCAACGTCACTGGAAATCACTCACTGATCTCAGTAGCGTGATCTTGTTGCTTGGAGCAAGTGTGATGCTGCCACGGGAGCAGTCGCTGTCGTTCTATAAAGATTCAAACATTGAGCGATGAACATGAACAGACCGTGCGACTCCATACCTGGGGGATATTGCTTTCCTCAAGGTCCACGCCAGACAAGTCCGTCATGAAGTCGTCATCATGGTCGACGACAGTCGTATCGGAATCGATTGAGAGGCGCTTGGTGTTCTGAACCAGTGGAGTCGGCGATATCGGCATGCATAAAGTGGAACACGCAGTAGATGGCGGAGTGCAGTAAGAGTCATCTGAAATTGGATTCAGTGAAATTATTAGGTCTGGCAGAGTGCTGCAAGGTTCGATTGCGATTGAAATTGAGTCTGCTGCAGTAGAAAAATCGGACACTTTGTTGCAAATGAGAGGCGCGTTGAGCTCGGCTAAATCGTGCTTCGGAGGGAGTTGACCATCTTTACTGAGGAGTATCCGGGTGGTCTCGTTGGAAGCTAGAACTAGTACCGCGACAGAGATACAGAATTCGGATATGACCAGGCCGGCGGTGACGTTCTCCGCTTCTTTGATGGCCTTCGACGTCCGATCTACCACGGTGTGTTTGAAAAAAAATGCTCCGAGGCACCCAGCGACGGTGATATGAGCACCGTCGAAGATAGCGGAAATCATATTGTAAGGCGAGTGAAAGTTGAGAATGAGTAGTGAAGAAAGTAACGCAATAAAATCGAGGCACGTCTTGCGGGCATGCTGTATTTATACTCTGCTATACCAGTTCAATCAGCACTGCCAACCATGGCAACGCTGAAATTCTTGCGGTATGCAATCCCTCCGCATGTTGTTCATGTCTTTTGATTTTGAATTGTCAGTACTTTGCTGTTAAGCTCTTCGACATTACTGTTCACTCGATAGCTGATGAACGACGGTATCAACAATCACTTGGCTCAATTCCACATTGTGCAGCTCGCAAAAGAGTTCTTCCCTAGTTAGTCACGTTCAATTTCGCCAATGGGCTCTATCTCACTCACTATATGTTGTAAAACAAGATGCCAACACGAGGTCTGGATTGGGAGGTTGATATCGAGCCTTGACCACACTCGAAAAAGGAAGCGTGATGCCGACATCGCACAAACTCAAGAAGATTCGGATTCAGCGCCTGATGATGATGGTTGTTGGACGAGGAAAAGTATCCGAACACGACCCACTTTACCAGGGCAGTGACAGATTTTCGTTGCGAATCTGATACTTTGTCATTGGCTTCGGGAGGGTCTGCGCAATGGGCATTCACTTCTCCATAGCTAACGTATGTCAGAATAGCTCGGAACACCATTTTCCAGACTCCATGTTCGTCTGGTACCGCCTTCCAGCGCTTACCATCATGTTTATCTATGCGATGCCCCTCCTTCATCCCAGCCCGGTGCACTGGCGAGGAGTGTCTGGAACAAGAGAGGATAAACCTCGAGAATTCGTCGCTCCGAAAGTTCTTATCTTTTATCAGAAGCATCGTGTGTCTGGACGATCACTCTCCCAACCACAAGGAGTTCCCTGCAATCATTAAGGAGTTGGAAGATGCGACGGGCATAGATGCACGAGCCCTAATCTGCTTTCGTCCAGGGATGAACAATGCCCGACAGAGACTTCAATGGGTGTCATCTCGCGTCACTAGATTGCAAGAAGACATCGCGTACTCATTGTTTGGTATCTTCGGTATCCGCTACCTGCAATATACAGCGAGAAGAAGCAGAACGCGCTCGGGCAGCTCCTGCAGGAGATTGTGGCTCGGTCGGGCGACATCACTATCCTCGACTGGGTCAGACAACCTTCCGAGTCCAATAGCTGTCTTCCAGTCTATATTTCTTCTCACGCCATTCCTTCGCGTACTCTTCCATCTTACTGCAGACTGCATCTGCCTTGCACGGCATTCCGTGTTACAGAAGTCACTCTGAGCTACAATCCATCCCAGGAGACTCGATGTGAAGTCAAGGCAGACGTGCTTCGTGACCTGTGATCACCACCAAAGAGCCGATTGTTCAGTTCTTGTGGACAATGTCCACTCAGCAAACCTTTGTGTTTGTCCGTCCCTGGGACCAGAGTTACCTGACTTTGCAGATCTGCCCGACGTTGTGCGGAGGACGAGGGGGATCATTGGACTTCTGCGTCAGAGGACTCACCTAGTCGTTCCCTTGCGAGATAAGGATGTAGAATCGCGAGTATTGCGGTTCCTTGGTCGCCTTGGGCACCCTCTCGGCGCACGTTTGCTAGTGCGGCGGGGAATGCGAGAGGGTCGCGTCAGATTGTGGTATCATTGCGCAGCTCAAAGATGTGGCTTCTGTTCGAGACTTGATGAAACGTCAGGACGATAGAAATACTGTATATGCATGTTTTTCCTCGAAGATTAGAGATCTAAGTGGTTTTCATGGATCCTTCGTGCATGTCATGCCATTCAATGTATTTACAGTACTAGCGAGTCAGGAAATACAATATTCGTATAGTCTTGTTCTTCGTTCGCCTCTGAAAATAAACACGAGTCTCTTCGCGTTCTTACTCTCCTTCGCCGACAATAGTGGTCCGTGCATCCAATAGATAGATTCAGTCTTTCGCAGACGCGGTATTCGCACCAAAATGTGAACACGTTGATTCGAACATCTCCCAGTTCTGGAGTCGCGATGAAAGCATCATAATTCTTTTTGTCAATCGCTTCCGTTCTGAAGACCAACAACACCGTGAAATGAAGCAGATCGCCATAGTGGTGAGCAGGGAATGATAACAACAACACAGCATGACGCAGAAAACGGATAGAGCCGGAGAAACGACACAGCATGACGTGGTGGACGGCGGTTATGCGTATATACGTGCAGGTAGATAGATAGATGTATATGCCTTCAACGTTCAACGACTGGACCGTATTTTAATATTCCTGGATGTATTTTGCAGCCACATCAGGGATTACCAACATGGAAGATATATCCAGATAGCGGAGGGGAGTACTTGTTCGAGATAGACCTAGTCTCATCCGCATTGCTAACATTGGTCTGTCCTATGTATGAGTTGTACGTAAGAAATCAAGTTAGGGTATACCATAAGATCGAAGCGGCAATGTGCAGGGAGTCAGTGGGAGAGCATGAGGAAGAAGGCCTTCCAATCGTGATAGCCGGGAGAACAAATATGTCATGCGGCGGGGAGTGTTGAGAAACTGAGTGAGATGGGTGTGCGTAAAGCCGCAGCCGATTCTGCCGAGATAGTGGACGCGTATTGTAACTTGTTAGTGACAAATTGAAGAGGATGTCCGGCTCATTATAGTACGGTAGTATGCGAGGATGGAGGTGAGGCAGAGGACGTCTCTAATTGGTTATCTGGCCCACCAATAATTCAGTCTTCGCTCTAACAGTAAGACAACAAAAATATAATAACTACAACCTGTCACCAACAGGGTGTCATATGCTATCAGATGGATACAAACCATACTTTAGAGGGTCATGAAATAGTGCCACGTAGCGCGTACATTTGAAGGGTGCGGGGTCAAGGGGATATCTATTTTGAGCTTCTTGGCGAGTGGATGACATATCGTATTGACGATGGTAGCTGCGCATCGAACCATGTACGAAACATACATTCACCTCCCAATACGAGATCGCGACCCTCCACGTAAAATGAGGCGATTAAGGTAAGGAGAAATAGATTGAGCTCCAAGGAAAAATGGTGCGGCGGAGGGGTTTCTATTCGGGTTTCTATTGCCAACTTTAAGCAGTCGCGTTTCATCTTCTGGCAACCCAAAGCATCCCCTGTGAGCCAGCAATCCAGTGGTCTGTCCTTGTTCAGGAGCTTTCCGTCCTCATACTGAAGACAGACCAAGATGAGGACCCAGATGAATGATTCAGCAATGTGCGGATACAGGGGCTCCGCTTTGTCCTCGATGGTTTTCTTTGTGAGAAGGTCCATCGCCATGAATGGTATCATTCCTATGCGCTCGTGGCCGCCGGACCCATTTTCAGGCGATGACAAGTCGCAGTCGTTGATGGCGCCCATCACTAAACCGCTCTGGGTCCGGTAAACCATGAGATTACTCGGGTTAACGTCATACTGACGAACGCCGGTGATCCAGAGGATACGATGGTCTATTTTTTTCGCGGTCAATAGACAATGATGAGCGCAGTAAGGGAGGATACCTACAGATTATCATCATCCACCATACACGCTTAAACTCTTTCCCGCTCAGCTTCGTGACCGGCTGAAATTTCCAAGATACGTGGATGTTCAAGATGCGTTTGCATCCTACAGGGTCGTCCATCTCTAGCCTTCTTCTGAGTTTTGCTGTGCATGTCTCTTCAACTTGATGGAGCCAGATCATCTCTTGGACGTGACCATCCACCTGTGGCTTGTGCTGTGCAATATCATGCACCACATTGAGCATACCAGGGTCACTCTGGCAGGACCCACCTGGCCAGTGGAGCTTGGTGGCCGGTTCGTCGGGGTTATGATGAAGACGCCTCGATGACAGACACGATAATATTTCACTTTTCATTGGTAAAACAGTATTCGCACTTCCGCACAGCCCGAGATGAGCTCTATGGTTGTCGGACTCCGGATCAGGCGTCCTGAGGGTACCACTCGACGTGGATGGTGGGGAATGATTCAAGCATAGACTCGAATGTCTGGTTATAAAGGCACTGTGGCACGTCGTGCATTCGTCGCATAAGGCTAGAAAGCGGTGAATATCCTGCACGAAGTTGATACCCGAACACGGAACGTGTAAGCATTGCTGATCAAAATGAGGACCAGGCGTAATGATGCCTTCTGGCGGTCTGCATTCGCGACGCACATACACCTGATATAAGTTAACGACAGCAGCGAGAATGCATGAGGAAGAGAACCGATATAGAAGTAAGTGATTGATATTGCGTCTTCTGCATCCGGCGTGACGATTGTATGTATTAATCGCATTGTATCAATGCTTTCGGCGAGGCTCGTTGGAGCGTAAATGATTAGAAGCACACCTTCTTGCAGGCAATGCTGTTACGTTCGGCCCTGAACCAAACGTCAATACAATTGATTGCAGACCAGTTTGTGGCACAGTCATACCAGTTGCGTTATCGTGGAAAACACGTTGGTAATAACACAAAATATTCCGAAAATAGCGATGCCAAGGGCTGCCTCGCTCTGCCTCGCCTTGCTACCTAGTACCTATGTCTAGAGACATAGTACACACAGCAAAGAACGATGGCGCCAATCCTGGCGCCACTCCCCTCGCTTCTACAAACTTAATCGGATTGACCCCCGAGCCCTCAAACGTTCCTTCACTAAACTAACCGTCACATTTCCCAAAAGACTCACTGGTTTATATATGTTCCTTCGCACCGGCCATGCTCCACTTAACGTGCACTTACATCGCATCCACAAATCGACCACTCCCTTCTGCAACAATTGCCAGAACGTAGAGGAAAATGTCCATCATTATTTGTTCGCCTGCCCCCTGTATCAACGCGCACGTCACTCACCATCCAACGCGCTGGGCCGTCAAGCCGCGTCCCTTTCCTACATCCTAACCAACCCCGCAGCCACTCCCTATTTGATTAGATACATCAACGCCACCGGCCGCATGAAAGCCATCCTCGGTGAAATCCCGCTTCCCCGCACACCAACCAACTGACACTCCATCTGTGGAAAATGCACATAGCACCCTCGTAGCCACGCAAGAACCAGCACCAACACCTAAACCTGAAAATCAGCCTAATATCACTATAATCCACTATAATCCACCCTAATCCACTCGCTTACATGGAGCCGCCCTCGTTCAAGATGGTCTAAGTCAGCCGGCAGTTGAAGACATCGCCCGTCAACCACATGTATCAACTACCAAGCCCCCTGCATCCATCAATGACTCCTGTACCAGCCCGCGCAAGCGGCCGAGTACGCGTTTTTGTTTATTCGTTCGACAAACACATACCTCGTACCATTAGATTAACAGTCATCTCATCTTCGAAAGGTTGCGCGTCTAAAACGGCCGGCGGGAACGGCGGACCGGTGGGAGTACGCTTCACACCGGGGCATTCGCGAACCTAGAGATGCGTCGGGGACACTGGGGGTCCCCTAGACTAGATAGTATTGTCTCTCAATAGGACAGAAATTGGAATAATAAAAATAAAAATAAAAAATACACACAGCAGCTGGGCATGGTGAACATAAAGTTCGGTGCATGCGTGACGTCAAGCGGCTAGTGCTTCGGTTAGTATGTATTACCCTGAGCAATGAACGTGGAAAAGGGTGGGTGTGTGCACGTTGGTACAAGGCTTTAATTTGGGTGGCCTTGCGCCTGAAAACGCAACTATGGAGTTGGTGCTTGGTTCGCGCTATCGATTGTGAAGACCACTGCTTGGCTTGAGAAGGGGATACGTCGCCGAGCCGTGTTGCAGCCTCTTGCGGTAACGCAAGACAAAAATGCTTCGGGCGCTCAGTTCCTTCCAGATGGCACGCTGGGTGGCAGCCTTTGTACGGTGAGTTGCACTTCGGCCTAGATACAGCACAACGCAGGACCTTACTAGTGTTCGTCGATGGCGCTGCCGTATGCAGGGCAAAGTGATTCCTCCCCTTATTCGTTCGCAGTTCCAGTCAATTTTTGACTCCACAATTCTAGCCCAGCATTTTCATAAGCTTTGAGCGTGGTCAGTCCTAGTACGTCACCGAGCGATATCGGTGACGCAGCGAGTGACTAGAGGGTTCTAGGTCTACACAGCAATTTAGCTTGTGCAAGCCAATACTTTATTCTCGATGAGGGAACTGGTTTGTCATGCCTGTCATCAACATCAATTCGCTCCACGGACGAATTCGGGAAGGAACGAAACAACAGAAAGCGAACTACGATGATACTTGTGCTCGCTCTTCAAACGACCCGTGCGCATTACATGTCCGTTTGCCACACCATGCTGCGCTGGTAACCTGGACGCTACTACGGCGCTGCCATACAATATAGAAGAGAAAAACGATGGCTTACCAATCAGACCGAAAAAAAATCCACGATGCTCCCAAATTACTCCTTCAATTCGCTGGCGTGCAATCTCTGGAGACGCGGCTGCTGACGACGAATTCCTACAAATAGGATATTCATGATTTTCCTAAGAACGCCGGCTCCCCATCTCGAAAACCTCTACGAATGACCATTTACTCAAAGAACCCGGACTAAATATTGATCCAGGATCCTCGGCCGAGCTGAAGAAAGGGTCGCGAGTGGAAAATTAGAAGGTTAGATCTTTGACTTGAGACACGATGGTAAGAGAAAGATCGTACTGTCCAATGTTGCGTACAATGCCCTAATGGGCATAGATTGGAGTCGAAAACAACAAAAAGAGAAAAATCGATTGACAAAGAACATGCGTTGGGCCTCGCTAACCGGAACAGACTGGGGGACTGCTCGACAAAAATGCACTAGTCACAGGTCCTAGGTCCCTGGACCATGCCCTCGATGGCGGTGACAGGAAACTTGATTCATATGCATGAATGTGATGTTGGTGGGAGCGTCAGGGGTACATAGATGATTAAAAGAATGTTGTGGCATGTTAGCCAGTGGGCCGTTCCTTTTTTTTCACGCACCTAGACCTTGGCGTCGTGTCCGAATGTAGTTCACATATGCTGTAAAACAATAGATCGCCATTAAAGGTCTCTAAACAAAATTCCGCCAAGTTGGGGATACGCATCTGGTAGAAGAATGTCCAGCATCTTGCAGTGGGTCGCGGAGATAGAAATTCACAGAATCGGAGTGAGTCAATCTTCTCCAGTGAAATGGGAGTTCCTGACTGGTGAAGGTGGGTCATGAATGTGAAGTTCACTTCACTAAGCCCACGTATGATGCATCGCGATGTCTTTCCGGCACGTTCCTCGATCCAATACCCGAGTACTTTCGAGACCGTACGTTACTGGCCAACGCGGGCGCCCAAAGTGGCGGCACAGAGGGCAGCTCATCAAAGATAAAACCGGATAACGCTGGTGAGCTGAACAAAGATTCACTGGAGTTGCCATCTCTGTTGTGCTGATTTGCCTTGACATCGAGAGGAGGGAGACCAAACCCGATTTGCATGCTACCCCAAGGAACCAGGCAACCTATATGCTACGTTGCAAGGGGAAACGACGCGCGTCATGAATGTGAGATAACAATCATATATAGCAGCAAAGCCAAGGTATTGCATGGTATGAAATTCGGTTTCGCAGGAGACACTGTTACTTTCCATCACTGCAGGTTGGAAAGTTCGTCTCCGATGCTTCGATGTATCGAGTAGTGTCAGAGGTATTGGAGGATTTAATACTTGATGTCATTTGACTCCAATGAAGTTACTTTGGCTGGATATATGTTTTAGATGACAACAACAATGTGGAACATGTAACTATTGACCTACCAGTAGTCCAAACACAGCCGCAAAACTTACTATCCCACTTTTAGGACCATCGGCTGTACTCATTGGGGATGCAACATCACAATCTTTTGATGCCTCACGTGCCTTGCGGTGTCGATATGGCCAGTCTTGTTACGACCCGCACCCAATAGTAAGACATGATTCTTCTAGAACAGCGGAACGGAACCGCCCTTTCCCCAGCAACCTCGACTTCTGTGACCTGTAATCCTGAGGACGATGAGCGTTGTACATTCGGAGGTAAGAGCTTGCCATTGCATACATGATGTACCGATTCCTTAAGTGTGGAACGTGCCTTTTCTCTGCCATCGGCGCACCGGAGTGACATGAGTAGTCAAGAATAGGTACCCTGGTTGGAGTGCCTTCTATGCCAGCTGCATCTCAGGACGAATGTAGACGATGAGGCGTGTAGATGGCGTACTGGTGTGTTCCTATTCTCAGATGACTGGATATAATCCTTCGGTACCGCAGAGACTTCAAAGTCAATCAGATTCTGCTCACCAATCTGGGGGCCGCATCAGACAAACTAGGATGACCTACTCCCCATTCCCTAAACACCGTACCAAATCGTATCGAGTGCAACTCGTCGTCCTGTGAAATAAGCATGACTGGCTTGACATTGAAGGCGAGACAGACAATTGGATCAACACATTCCAAACGCAAGCGGTGGCTAGTGCGGTGATGCGCCTAGTGCCAACAAAGGTACACTTCGTGTAAGCGAGGAGCGGCAGCCCTTGTGATATTTCTTCATCCTCTGCGGCAAGGTCGTATTATGATTTTTTTTTTCTGGATCAAGAGATTTTTTCCTGGTCGTGAAGTCATGCCAGTGGGTCGTGCAAGACATGGACCGGTCGAATATGGTACGTGGACGTTGCCTCAGGCTGAAATTATTTTTCGTCGCGAAGGGAATCAGACATGCCAAATAACCTATGAAAAGGGATATTCGTCCAATAATCGCTACTGAATTATGTGTACTACCATAGGACGATGACATGCCCAGGACTCGAGGAACAGCACAGGTGATCAGTGGAAACAAGGGGAATGTCACCTGATTTTTGCGCCAATGGCTCCACCTCGGAGCTCAAAACGCTCATTCACGCCACTGAGCTGCAAGCTCAGACCTCAACACGCTAACGACTTAATCCTATCAACTCACGATCTATATGTTTTATGGACCGTCAGTTCCGCTCCTCATGGCTGATGACTTGCGTGCCTCTGTTGTGAAAAAATCAAGAACAGAAAAGTATGGTGGAGAAATGACGTTCTAGTAAGTCTAGAACTTGAGAGCTGCGGCCACTAAAACAATCCCCTCAGCTTCTCTCTTAAACCGTCCACGGTCGCTGAATATTGTATGGAGAAAAACATCGATTCACAACAGATATTCAACGAGAGCCTCATGAGCATTTCAAGCTGATCACGGAGTCCTTGCCTATCTGCGATCACCGTGGAACTGCTAAAATGGAATGCCCGAAAACGAAGGCAAGAATATGCCTCGATGTTCTGATCTGTCGAGAAGCTTCGATAGATAGCATTGGGTCTTCAATCAGCCATCTACATGAGGTGGCCGCAGGGCCACTCTCACGGATGTCATCACTTTGTCAAAACCTTGGCCCTCCTGAGCTGGGGGGCTGAAACTGGGTCAATCGAGATTGAAGGAAAGATGAAGCCCTTTGCCCAATGTGGTAACATCGACCATCGGTGCTATCGCACAGGTTTCTCAAACTCTGGGTATCACGGCACGTAACTCGCTAATTATGTCCTGAGATATATGGCGTTGTGTCACGGCCTTTCTGCAAACGGGGAGCAACCACCAGGTTTAACTGCCGTGAATGCGTCAGTCACTCAGTAGCGGTCTTGAAAGCTACTGTGCCCCGTCCACGAAAGGTACTCTCATCTCTTTCAAAAAAAAAGGAATTAGACAGTCATACTCACCTTGAATTTTCTTTCCTTGGCCTTATCTTTTTATCCTAAGGTTTCGAGAACCAGGATGTGTCAGGTTACCGCTGAATCAAGACCACGGAAAAATTCCGAGCTCGGATTAAGGTGGCCGTAGATGCTCGCGGAAATGAGCACGACATCAAGGGTGTGGGTATACCTTCGAATAAACGCCGATTGAAAAGGCCCAAGCTGCATTAGGTCGTCGTAACGCGCCCTCCTGCAAAACGCTTTAGCTTGATGTGCCTAATGAAATGTCGATGTCATGCAGGCTGCAGCCAGTGCCATATCAATTTAACCCATGCTAGTACTGGGGATATGATGTATGCTGATTTAGTGCATTGCGCTCAGGCATAAGCTGTAAGTATATCGAGGGGAGATCGAGACCGTCATTGAATGACGAAACTGTTGGGTATTCGTAATAAGACGCTGCCTAAAATTTTTAGCAGTTAATTAATGAGCTGAGTTTATACTAACAATATTATATTATTACATATAAGAGTGAACCTTAAGTTTAAGCTTCCGCTTTAGGGGCCTCGGTAATATAATAAATATTATTTTTGTAAGAGACAAGTCTCGCATTTGCAATTCAGCATATTTTGCACCCCTCTTATAAACCTTAATCTATTTTCGTGCTTTAGATTTTCTAGAATTGTTTTACTTTTACATAACCACAATAACTTAGCGACCTTCCCATTTTTAGCTAGTATGCTCTGACGTAATCTCTTTCGCGGTGCAGCCTTCTATCCATATTCAGCACGTCGATTCCTGCCACTAGCCAAGTGCTGCTACCGCTTCTCCGTCGCCTATATTGTGCATCGTATTTTTCACAAGACGATGAGTTTAATCTATTGAACCAACTTGCGGTTAAATTAAAAATACAGTCAATTTCCCATGATTCTGAAAAGGCTGATTATTTTACTATGCAAAGTCGCTGTCAATTGTGTTTCCAATTTCTGCGGTAGATATTTGCCTATTAGCCCCACGTAGCCGATATTTGCGCTTATTTGACCTGATATTTATATAATAATATTAGTGTCCCAATCCGAATGAGGGAGCTCATGTAATCAATATCATCGAAGTCCAACCAACTGAGACCGTTGAACCACCCTCGCTACTGGATCGTCCCGGACTTCGCTCCATATTCACACGCAATAGTGCAGAAGAGCAGGGAGCTCTTATATACTTATTTGCAAGTGTCACCCGTCAAAACCCGATGAACTCCATCGATCACCACCTCAGCCTCTTTCCTCCTCTTATTCAAGTTGGACACGCCGAACAGTTCACCCAGTCAGGAAAGACACTTTTATCTGCTCAATCACCTTTGAACCAGTCGTACGCTGTATTTCCATCTGCCCGAGTAGGTTTCACGCCGTCAAATTGCTGCAATGAGATACCAATTCATAATTTGTGTTAGAAAGATGCCCCGAGCATAAAAGCCAGCGATGTGGAAGAGCAACCCATATTCTTCGCGAGCAGTGAAACTTCGCCATCATCTGAAAGACGATTGGTGTGTCCTTACGGTCTATACTATATCCCACGCGTTCATGTTTGGATAGTTCATCGGAGATACATCCATAATATTTGCTGCGTTACAAAACTTGACCAACACGGCTCAAAGCCGAGGACAGCAATGGTACTAGGATTGATGACTTATTTGTCATATACACTAATCCTATGCCACATTAGGTTACACAGTCAAGAAACTCATAATGTGATCAGAAAGCTAACCCTGGATTATGTCAATTTCACCCGAGAGTGCTGGATACACACCTCGGTGAGTATTTGCATGTTGTCTCACCATGAGGTGTTGATCGGAAGATTGCAAACGTCTGTTTAGTCTCAGGGCTCCTCCCAATTTTCCGGTGATCATTATCGCAGCTTATACACGTGTCTCGCCCTATTTGCTGTTTTATACGTACCCGAGTACGGGTACGAAGACGCACCAGTAGGTGACGATTTGATGGAGTGGTTGAATGTCCACTTCATCGAACCTTCCACGGAGGAGGGTGATCACCTATCGGGTCTAGATCGCCCTTGGGAAGACGAGACATTCTGGCCGTATCTTGTCAGGTAAAATCCTATTTTCATGATACTCAACAAGCTAACGTCGTACAGGGTGACTTTGAGGGGTCTTTCCAAAGCCGCAACCTTCTTCCTCGCAACACTATCAACTCACCCGTCCGACAACCTTCGCCGGCTCGCTCAACGGTTGTCCCCATTGGTTCAATCTCAGCCTCACCTTCAGTCTTTTGAGGCGGAGCGTGATTTTGCATATGCTTCTCACCGATGGAAGGATAAGGTGAAAGCTCTGCGAATCGAACTAGACAGTGTCTCTGAATCTGATCGGCATGATGGGATCGAGAATTGGTGGGATCGTTTGAGTGACATTGTTGGTATACTAGAAGGACGCAACGAAGTCATTCGTAGGGTCTGCGAAGATCTTGGCGCAGACTGGAGAGAAATTTCTGTCTCGTGGGGCGTATTTGCTGATGCAAGACTACGAAGACAGGATTTACCGTACGTTACTCTCTTTCAAGACCGAGTTTATGCTGACATCTTTGAAAGTGAGGTCGCCTCTCAGGTCCTTGATGACATGCCCCAAGATCCGACGAACTTGGAGGATATGGTACATGCAGCGCTGTTCAGCGGTGACCCTGCCAAAGCATTGTCCCATGCGGCCCAACTCGACCCATGGCTCGCTGCGCATATGGCAGATTTAATGCAATCATTATCTTTAATCGAAAAAGATGCAAATGAAGAGTATGTTAAGGTCTTTTACTGGGGATAACAGTGCTTATACCTTCTGCAGCTCAGGTCTCAGTGTCAGAGATTTTTATGTGCTCGGTTATGCACAGTATCTTCATGTTGATCCTGCGCTTTGGAGAATTACTGTGGCATACATGTTTTCTTGTGGAGAAACTGGCGTCAGAAGTGCCGACGAAGCGTTAATGCACGTTCCGCTCAAGTTGCGCTCTGTCGGATCAATTACCCATAGCCAAGGGGAGCAAAACGGCGCGGATAACTTAAAGTCTGGAGATCTTGCAGGTGTGGTAAAAGACATCAATGCGACGTGTTATGAATATCAGCGCGAGGAAGTTCGACGAACTATTTGTCGCGTACGCATCATCTCTAATTTACACCAACTATGTTTCACCGTGTTTTTCACACAGATAGCTGCTCAGACCTTTGTACAAGAAAAGGAATACGGACTCGCACTTTCGTATTCTTCTTCGGCGGAGGACTGGCCTGGACTAGGTCGCGTGGTTGATCGCGTTTTACAAGAGTATATCAATGCAGGTATGAATACCTTCAATCTTCTTGCTTGGTGTCAAACGAAATACCGTCAGGGCCGGCACAATTCATCCGTTACGTGGCTGGCATTGCACCGTCACTCCAGGCACTTCGAATGCAGTCCGGTGCACAGGGCATATTTGTCCACCGCTTGATGTTTGCGGTTCGTTACGCTGAATTTCATCAGCGCCTGGGTAATCAGGATCTGCAAGATGCTGCTTGGGATCTTGTATCAATGCTCCAAGACGGGCTTTCTCCGAAATCGTGGTGGGCGGTTCTACTGTGCGATTCCCAGCAACTTTTGCAACATGGTACGGAAAGAGTCCATATACGCGTGTCGGGTGCCTAACTATTTTGCTAGACGCCACATTACTCTTTCCGTACGCAGGCGCGTGCGTTCTGCTACAGCATTTGGAAGAAGTAATTGCGAGAACTGATCAAGGATCTGGCGATGAGCATCTCCGTATTTTGGTCGCAAAGCTCGGTTCTGGTGGGACAACTGAGGCACTCCATGCACTCCAAGGTGTACGGCTGTCACTGGCGAAGTATTTTGCCAGATGCACAATGATTGGCACTGGGGGGAAACAAACCTTGGAGCGCAAGTTTATCGCTGCGGTGTGACACACCTGATTTTCGCGTCTTTGCAGTTATCGTTATTCATTGACATTATGAGTTAGTACCACTTTAATGCAACTTCAAAAAAGCCCGTGTGCTGTCAGGCAATCTTCCATACCGCCGGCTAACCGCGCTGGATGCGAGTATGTTTTTCGATATACCTAGGCAAAACTTGAGCTCCGTCTTTTACTTTTCGCCCACTGGAATTTACTCGATTTTTTCCTCCCTCTTATACCCAAAGTGCGTAAAATCCGTGCCATTATCATGGAACATTTCAATTTCGGTGCCGAATAAATTATCGTAGAAGAGCGCTAGAACCTTCGTGGGATGCCATTTAGCCTGAGGCTATTGAGGTTTCATTCAGAGTTCCTGTTGGCTCCTGTTGGACATTGTATGTCTTCAACGAGGATGCCTAATTGTCGATTATGGCATGCGAAGCCTTGAAGATCTTGTCTCAGCCCGTGCCTATCAATTTGCAGGCGGTTGACACGACGAATAACACCAATGCGTCGTTGCCTGGCCACTCAGTAATATGAAAGCGACATGGCTAACCCACTTGAGCACTTCTCAATCAATATTGTGAGCCTCCTTATTCCGTTCAATATAACCTGGATCGGGCCTTATCGACAATGCGCATACCGCTAGTGAGTATCCCCGGGGTCGTGCTCTTCCTACCGCTCACGCACTGATTGATGATTGCCAAAGTAGCGAATACAGCCTCAATGCAAGTGGTGGTTATATCGCCCCTTATCTTGACCAATGATCCGCTCCGCTGCAGAAGACGATCTCGTCGGTAGATTGCATCGTTTTCTGGAGAAAGCCACGACCCGGGGCTCTGGGGGTGGCAATAGCCGAACCCAAAGCAGCTGAGTGGAGCTAAGTTGCGATCGCGAACTAGAT